GAGTCATCCTACTTTAAAATCAAAATTCTATTGAACGGGAGAGAATGATGCAAATAATCATAAGTAGTGGAACAAGTTGGTTTTACTATAAGAGGAACACAAGCATTATCTAATTAATTAATAATAAATCAGATGCTTTTTTTTTCCCTAAACCCTAACTGTTTGGTAATCAAAGATAGAATCAACATATGCATGAACTAAACAGGAAATGGACATCCTTTGCTCTGGTGCTCTACGTATGAGGTCGATCGAACAGATCAAATGTTGTGAGCTTTCAACGTTTCACCTATTGCGCAATGCATCAAAAATGAAGTTGGGATGTAAAAGTTTATTGTGAAAACAAAAGAAGAAAAAGGGAGGTGATTGGGGAGGTGATTGGTTAGAGAAGTATATACAAAATAGGTGGACATTTTACCCCTACATTTTGGTTGGAAAACAACTGGGCTTTGATGCAGGGAGTACTCAAAACCGACATACAAGAACCAACATGCAGAACAGGTGAACATGCATGCCTTGACAGACAAGCTACAGTTCACCTACGAAGTAAATATTATCTTTATTTAATATGGAAAAGCTGCTGCGCAACAAGCGGGAAATCGACGATTTGCGCCATTCGGTCTAGTCACATCAAAATATAGTTTAAACAGACTCAACCATGTTTTAAAGGAAAAGGATAATGACTTATCTGTTCCAGCAAGTGATTTCTCCAAACCACCCTCACTCACAGTTAGGCCTGGTAATTCCTAACACGATTTGATAACTTGACACGACACGACATGAAATTAACAGGTGTTCGGGTCGTTATCAGGTAACCTGATAAGCACATGTTAAGATAACGGGTTGCTTCGGGTATATATATGGGTAACACGATACACGATAAGTAGAATATTAATTTTATAATTTTATAACCCTAAAAAAATACTATAATAATTATATATATTAATTTAACAATTTTATACCCCTAAAAACTATAATAAATATATATATTAAATTAAGTATAATAATTATAATAATTATACCCCCAAAATATGAACTATAATAATTATATATATATATATATATATTAAATTTTATACCCCAAAAAACTATAATAATTATTAATTAATATGCATCCACCGTTCCACCCTTTGAAGAAAAATGAAGGGAAAAATGAAAATTATAAGAAAATGAAACAAAAAAGAGAGGGAAAGATGGGACCTAGTGGTATTTTGTTTGCTACTAGTAGTAGGGTGGGTTTTTCCACCATGGTTCTCTCATCTCAATTCTCAAGTGTGCACTTGTTAATTGTTATTGATAGGATAAGATCTAACAGCTGTGTTCTTGACACGTGAACGTCATTCACCTCTCTCTCTCCTTTTTTTTCTTGAGAAATTTTTCATTGTAACGGGAACACAAATTACACCATGTGTTTTAATAGAAGTTGTGAGAAATTTTATTTTTTAAGTTATTAACTTTTTTATCACACATATCGCACTATTTTTATAATGACACATGATGTACTACTTCATGTACCAGTCAATTATACGTACAAAATAAATAGATTTAAATCAACATAATAAATATATATATATATATGTATATACCATTGAACTTGATGGGATACGAATTATACGAAACTAATTTCAACGATCTAACCGTTAAACTTGTTTGTATATGCTTCGTGATCACATCAGCAAAAAATCGCAAAAAAAAAACATTCAGAGATCAAGTAACAGAACAAAACTTTTTTATGGTTATAAAACGAAAAATCACGATTTAACGGTTATTTTAACTCCAATTTTGATTATTTTTTATAGCTATACTCCTTAATCCTATATGAACACAATGAATGAATTTGATCTTCAATTTAAAATATTTACAATAGTGGATACCACAAAATCTTATGTTATACTTAATGAAAGTATAAATAAACTCTAAGTGTTAGTGAATCTACTGTTTTGATGGGATACGCATCCTACGAAACTAATTTCAACGATCCAACCATCAAACTTGTTTGTATATGCTTCGAGATCGCATACGCAAAAAATTGCAAAAAACAAACATTCAGAGATCAAGTAACGGGACAAAACCTTTCGACGGTTATAAAAGAAAAATCACGATTTAACAGTTATTTTAACTCCAATTTTGATGATTTTTTATAGCTACACTCCTTGACCCTATATGAATACAATGATTGAATTAGATCTTCAATTTAAAATATTTACACTAGTGGATACCACAAAATCTTATGTTATACTTAATGAAAGTATGAATAAACTCTTTAGTGTTAGTGAATATATTGTTTTGATGGGATACGCATTCTACGAAACTACTTTCAACGATCCAACCGTCAAACTTATTTGTATATGCGTCGAGATCGCATACACCAAAAATTGAAAAAAACAAACATTCAGAGATCAAATAACAGGACAAAACTTTTCGACGGTTATAAAACGAAAAATCATGATTTAACGGTTATTTTAACTCCAATTTTGATGATTTTTTACAGTTACACTCCTTGACCCTATATGAATACAATGATTGAATTCGATCTTCAATTTAAAATATTTACACTATATTATACTTAATGAAAGTATGAATAAACTCTTAAGTGTTAGTGAATCTATTGTTTTAATAGGATACGCATTCTACGAAACAACTTTCAACGATCCAACCGTCAAACATGTTTGTATATACTTCGAGATCGCATACACCAAAAATTGAAAAAAACAAACATTCAGAGATCAAGTAACCACACAAAACTTTTCGACGGTTATAAAAAGAAAATTCACGATTTAACGGTTATTTTAACTCTGATTTTGATGATTTTTTACAGCTACACTCTTTGACCCTATATGAATACAATGATTGAATTCGATCTTCAATTTAAAATATTTACACTAGTGGATACCACAAAATCTTATGTTATACTTAATGAAAGTATGAATAAACTCTTTAAGTGTTAGTGAATATATTGTTTTGATGAGGTACGCATTCTACGAAATTAGTCTCAACGATCCAACCGTCAAACATGTTTGTATATACTTCGAGATCGTATACACCAAAAATTGCAAAAAACAAACATTCAGAGATAAAGTAACGGGACAAAACTTTTCGACGGTTATAAAATAAAAAAATCACGATTTAACGGTTATTTTAACTCCGATTTTGATGATTTTTTACAGCTACACTCCTTGACCCTATATGAATAGAATGAATAAATTTAATCTTCAATTTAAAATATTTACACTAGTGGATACTACAAAATCTTATGTTATACTTAATAAAAGTATGAATAAATTATAATAATGGGAAGTGTTATTGACACTTCAAAAATCTCATTCTACACTCCTCACAAGTGTATTTTTCTTTCCCAATATAGAAAGTTTGGAGTGTAGAATGATATTTTTGGAGTGCTAATAACAATTCCCATAATAATTATATATATATTAATTTAACAATTTTATACCCCTAAAAACTATAATAATAATTATATATATATATATATTAAATTTAATTTAAAAAATTGATGGCCATTGAAAACTTTTGAGAAAGGCTTCACAACCTTGAAAACAAAAACCCTTTCATTTTGCATATCCTTGCACATTTAATATTTGTAATAGATTAGTAGTGTATGTATTATTTTTTTATTAAGCTCTTATTTTCGAGTGTAGATATAGTACTTACACGACAAATGTGTTTTAATATTTTGAAGTAATATTTATGTGGCAATGTGTGGTATGTGCAAATTTAAGAAAAAAAATACATTTTTCTTAACGGGTCATAACGGGTCGGGTCACTTTACCCAAATCGGGTCACTTTACCCGTTGGGTAAAGTGACTTGACCTGTTAAGGACCCGTTAAGATAACGGGTGTGACACAACACGACCCGATAAGATAACAGGTGTTATACGAAAACGACACGAACACGACAGACACGACCCGTTTGCCAGGCTTACTCACAGTTGTGAATCAAATATTTGTATTATAAGATACTACAATTGAAGAGAAATATTATTAGGTTTTAGTATTAAGTGGCTTTCATTATTTAGTTTTATTGACATATTGTCGTAATTGAATTTTGGATTTTATATGTATTCATGACAAGTAAACTTGGGGGGGGGGGGTGGGTGTTTGTAATGTGTATGGAGTTTGATGGAATTTAATGAACTTTGCTTAACTCTCAAATTCAGGTCTATTCACTATAAATTTTTATGGAGTCAATAAAATTTTACCCTATATTGAATTAAAGCTTTCTATGACTTCTAAAGAGTCTATAAAATTCTCGTGTCATTTAATTATGACTTTTTGTAAGTTTACAAAAGTTTATGTGTATTTAAAAGTTCATTGATTTAAAGGATGTTAAAAAATTATGAACTTTCAAAGACTTTGACGCTTTTCATAGTATATATTTTTTTTGTCATAGCAATTCAACCTCTCCCCTTAAGATTTTGATGAACTTTCATAGATTTTGATAGTCCACCACCATGATGTAATTAATGAGGATCACCATCTTTACTTCAACCACACCATGTCATCACCACCAACTAACCATAACTGTCTTCGCTACTGTAATATCGACAACTATCGCTGCCACTGTCATCACCTCTGTTACCGTCTCTGTCACCATTATATCACATATTCTGCCACCACGTTGTCATACTCATCATCACCATACCACAACCTCATACAACCATTTTGCTGCCACCACCCAAACCCCTGTAAACCACTATAGTACAGAAGCTTAGAGATGTAGAGAGAGAAAGGAATAAAGGAGAAGAAGAAGAAAGAAGATACATGAGGAGAGAGAGAGATAGATTACTTCAACAGATTGTATTCTTCATTAACATTGTATGAGATCATTACAATCATTATATTTCATTGCTAGCTGTCAATTACTTACATAGCAAGTCATTAGTAACTAACCCTAGCTAACCCTAACCAACTCGGCTAACAACTTGACTAACAAACTCAACCGATGCTTGACAAGTGGCACATCCACATTCATTCGATTACTATCCTCAACATCCCCCCTCAAACTCAGTGGCAAGAACTGCAAGACTGAGATTGTGACAATGTGTTTGATAGAGTGGAGCAGACAACCCCTTCGTCAAAATATCTGCATATTGGTCAGCAGAAAGAACAAACTGCACTGTCAACAGCTTTTTATTCACTCGTTCTCGAACAAAGTGAATGTCTACCTCAATATGTTTTGTTCTTTGGTGAAGAACAAGATTACAAGTTAGGGCAATAGTCGACATGTTATCATAGTAAAACATTGGTTGATAGGGAATGGGAACATGCAGAAATGACAGCAGCTGTTTGATCCAATCCAATTCAGCAGCAGTAGAGGACAATGCTCGATATTCAACCTCTGTGGACGAGCGTGAGATAGTTTGCTGCTTTTTAGATGACCACGATATAGGATTGGAACCTAAAAACACCACGAACCCAGTTGTCGACCTTCTATCATTGGGATCACCAGCCCAATCTGTATCCGAATAGGCTCTCACATCCAAGTCACCTTTAACATACTGAACTCCCAAGTGCACTGAACCCTTCAAATATCTAAGGATCCGCTTAACTACAGTAAAGTGAGACTCCATTGGATTTTGCATGAATTGACATACCTGATGGACTGCAAATGCAATATCAGGTCGAGTGAATGTAAGATATTGCAATGCTCCAACCAAACTCCTGTATAATCCCGGATTATTATAAGGTTTGCCATCATCCAGTACCAATCGATTATAGGGCAAGCATGGTGTTGCACAAGGTTTGGAGTCTTCCATATCTGTTTTGGCTAGAAGATCCTTGATATACTTTGCTTGAGAAAGAAACAAACCATTTGATTGTTGTATAACCTGTATGCCCAAAAAATAATGAAGCTGCCCCAAGTCTTTGAGATCAAATTCTTTGGTTAAAGCATCAATTACTGCAATGATTGCTAAAGATGAATTTCCAGTGAGAATAATATCATCAACATAAAGAAGTAGGACAACGATGGAGCTGCCAGTGTGTTGGACAAATAAGGAGGAATCTGCATAAGTAGAGATGAACCCAAGAGATGGAAGGAAGGTTATGAACTTCTCATTCCAAGCTCGTGGAGCTTGTTTTAATCCATATAAAGATTTGTGAAGCTGGCACACATAATCTGGATAATGAGAATCAATAAAACCCGGAGGTTGTGACATGTAAACTTATTCCTGCAATATGCCATGTAAAAAGGCATTCTTCACATCTAATTGCCTTAATGACCATCCATAATGAGCTGCCATGGCTAATACAAGCTTAACAACCGGACTAAATGTTTCTCCATAATCAATCCCTTCTTCTTGGCTAAATCCTTTTGCAACAAGCCTAGCCTTATATCTCTCAACTGAGCCATCTGCATTCTTCTTGATTTTAAACACCCATTTACACCCCACCAAATTCTTGTTCTGTGGTAAGGGTACCAAGCTCCATGTCCCTTGAGAGTGTAATGCAGAAAGTTTTTCTCTTATTGCCTCAGTCTAAACGACACTCTTTAATGCAGACTTGTAGGTTGCAGGTTCGATAGTGTTCAAATCAACACCCTCATTCTCATGCACAGTGGACAACAATGTCATTCACTTGACAATCCCACTCTTTGATCTAGTTTGCATGGGATGAAGGTTTAATGGAGGAATCGATAAAACAACTTGAAGATGCTCAGGCTGAAAGTCAGGAGCCACAGGATCTGAGACTGTAATATTCTGTTCTTGTGCAATAATGGATTGAGGTGGTATGGACACAGGTAACAATGTAGGAATAAATGACATAGAATCAGATGACATAGGAGAAGACATAGGCTCAAAGTTTGGTAAACTTGCAGATGAAACAGGAGAAAACCGAGGTTCAATGCTGGACACACGAGGATCACTAGAAGATGAAACATAAGAATCAAGTCGTGGAGCTACCAAGACATTTTCTAAATTTGTAGTGGCAACTAGTGTGTTTGACACTGATAAGGGTGGTGACAGTATAGAACAATCATGTGTAGAACTAAGTTCCTTATATGGAAATACCCCCTCATCAAATATAACATGCCTAGATATATGCACCCTCTTTTTAGTAACCTCATAGCAGACAAACCCTTTATATTTTGATGCATAACCCAGAAAGATGAATTTGGTAGTTCGAGGTTGTAACTTTGATATGTTTAAGGGTCTTAAAATAGGGTAACAAGCACAACCAAAGATCTTTAAGTGATGGATATCAGGGACAGATTCATACAACACTTCAAAAGGTGATTTATGATTCAAGGTGTGGGAGGGCATTCGATTGATAAGATATACAGAAGTTTAAGCTGCAAATGACCAAAATTCTGCAAGTAAGTTGTTTGTAAAAGAGTTATGGTTGTTTCAATGATATGGTGATGTTTCCTTTCAGCCAAACCATTTTGTTCTGGTGTATAGGGACAAGATAATTGATGTTTAATACCTTTGGTTATAAGAAAGTCTTGAAACTGTTTTCCTATCTACTCACCACCTCCATCGGTTTGCAATGTCTTTATTGAAATTGAAAATTGAGTGAACACAAAGTTGTAAAACTTAATGAACGTATCACAAACAGCAGCTTTATTAATAATTGGAAATATCCAACAGAACCTAGTACACTCATCTATGAAGGTTACATAGAATTTAAACCCTTCAATAGACAGACAAGGTGCATGACCCCATACATCACTATGCACTACTTCAAATGGTATGACAGATCTATTTATGGTTTGTTGAAAAGGTAATTTGGTTATTTTTCCCCCCAAACAAGTTGAACACAGACTAGGTAACATATCAGAAGCATGGAAATATCAAACTTTTTAAGCATTTGAGATACAACAAGATTGGAAGGGTGACCTAATCTGTGATGCCACAAGCTGGTATTGACTTGTTTCCCAACATAAGCTGCAGATTGTAGAACTTGGTTCGAATGAGTTGAATGAATTGGGATAGGGTATAATCCATTATTGCAGCGACCTTTGAACATAATTCTCCCTGTGGCTTTGTCCTGAATCCAAAAATAAAAGGCATCAAATATTAGCCAAATGTTGTTATCGAGACAAATGCAATGTACTGAGAGCAAATTCTAAGAGATTTGGGGAACATATAGAACAAAATTAAGTTTCAAGTTGTGTAAAGGAGTCTGTAATATGGAGGAACCTTTTTTAGACACATGCAAACCTTCTCCACTTGATGTTTGAATCATCTCAATGGATGGAAATGAAGTGGCAAGAGACAGATTATTCAAGTCAGCTGTCATGTGACTTGTTGCTCCAAAGTCAGTGAGCCAAACTTGTGGTGGTTGATACTCCATAGATGGTGTGGATGTAGTAGCATGCATTGCAGTCATTGCAGGAGATTGACTACGAATGTTGGCATTTCTGAAATGACAGTATTGTACACTATGGTTCTTTTTACCACAAATCTGACAACCATTATGAACTAAAGAATCAACATTCCTGAACCTACAAGTGTCTGCAAGATGACCAAATTTATCACAGATCTGACAAGGTGGAATGGATGGGTTGTTCGAAAAATGTTGTCTTGGTGGAGAAGAACCAAGAAGACTAGGAGCTCCATTGTTGTAAGGTTGTCGATTTCCAAATCTTGAACCATATAAGAACTTGCCTCTGCCCTTATTTTTGTTGAAAAACAGTCTATATGAAGATAAGCCCCATTGATAACTGTAATTACCACCAGAAGTAGAAGAATCTTGGCGAGTAGAGAACCCTTTTAACTGACCCCCATTTTCACCAGCAACCATTGCAGTTTGAAAAGATGGTGCTTGAGCATTTTCAATCATTGCTTCTTCAGCAAGCAATTGAGCCCGCAAATCCTTAATCGAGATCACATTATCTCTTCCTCAATTAATGGACCTAATAGTGTTGAATTCAGAAGGAAGACCAGCCAAGGTAAGAATAACAATATCATCATCATCATCAAACAATACACCAGCATATGCTAAGTAATCCCGAGCTTCTTTGATGCGTTGCAGATATGTAGTAACCGAGTCAGCCCCTTTCTTGATAGTCTAAAGATCTGACTTGAGTTGAAATATACTCGTGCAAGTAACCATAAAGAAATGCTCCTTGAGTCTCGTCCACATATCACAGGCGCTAACACTTCCAATCACACACGAAACAGTCGGAGATGAATGAGTAGCTGTGAGTAATTGCATTAACGCACGATCATGCATTTTCCAAATCTTGAAATCATCACTTTCAACTGAGGAAGAAGAATTGTCTGAGCTAACATCTGAAGTGCTTGATACAGTCGTGGGAAATCGAGGAGAACAAGGAGACGAGCTATCTACAAACCCCATGATCCCATGTCCTTCGAGAAGAAGTTGCATTTGAAAATTCCAGGTCAAATAGTTCGTATCATCAAGTTTCACCGTCACGGCTATCGATACGGTTAAAATCAAAGATGTAATGGGCGATTGAACAATATGGAGCTGTGCAGCAATCATCATTGTTGCAAGAAACGAAGAAATCAGAAGAAAATCGGGCAAAAAACTTTTATCAAACATGTTGCGTGCAAACAAGAACCAGCAATTAAACGCTGTGAGCGGAAGCAACCTAGATCGATGAATTAGTGATCAGTTTTGCAGGCGAAGATACCATGTAAACCACTGTAGTACAGAAGCTTAGAGATGTAGAGAGAGAAAGGAAGAAAGGAGAAGAAGAAGAAAGAAGATACCTCAGGAGAGAGAGAGAGAGATTACTTCAACAGATTGTATTCTTCATTAACATTGTATGAGATCATTACAATCCTTATATTTCATTGCTAGCTGTCAATTACTTACATAGCAAGTCATTAGTAACTAACCCTAGCTAACCCTAACAACTCGACTAACAACTTGACTAACAAACTCAACCGATGCTTGACAAGTGGCACATCCACATTCATTCGATTATTATCCTCAACAACACCCCCCCCCTCGATGCCAGCTATCGATCTGGAGAAGCTGCAGAAAATACAATTTTGAGTGCTATCAACTCATATAGATTTCCATCTGTACCTAGATTCGCTTTTTATGTGAAAGGCTTTTGTAAATTTCGCAGACTTTTATTGACTACTAGAACATCAATCCGAATGAATTATCCTTTCCACGAAGGTAAATCTTTGCCTAAACCAGTCGATTCTTGAGCCTCTCCCCTCTTCATGAATTCTAGACTTTTTAATGATAGACTTCTACACATTTTTTAAAGTTTAATGATAGACTTTGTAGATTTAAAAAATAAATAAAAACTTTGTAAAAAAAATCTATAAATCTGAATACAATACAAAGTTTTCTTTTGATTTTTTTGGCACTAGAAGCCAGGGAAACTGAATATATGCAATTTGGTTATTATCTTCATGCTAAGGTAAACTAATTAAAGTATACCTAGTGAGTTACCTTCATGAGGCTAGCTAGCTAGCAAGGAATAGTGCTCCACAGATTTTGGATAAAGTTAAATCCCTATTCAAATGAAGGGATTCAAATGAAGGCATTTTAGAAATATTAATTCTTTGGTAGTAATTTAGACAAATTATGTCGACCGGAAAAACAAAAGAAATAAGCTTCAAAACGTGTGAAATTCGTCTTCTTAGAAAAAAAAACAAGAAAGAAAAGTAAGAAAAATCAGACAAGGAAAGAAATTGAGAAACAGCAATTGTTTTCTCCCTTTGACAAATGCCTGGCCAGTTTCAACATGTTCTCAGCCTCTGTGGGACATGCACACAAACCACTCTCCCCACACTTCACTGGCCAGCCGGCACACCACATTTGCACTTGTACTAAATTGGAGTCCAGTCACACATTTTTTTCAAGATGTGAAACACTCGCGACAACTCCTTTGCCTCTCCCTTAAATATTGCTTGCTATAATTGCCTAGACCAATGCTTATGATCCCCTTTCGTTTGAACATGAAACGCAAACAAAATCAGCAAACCACTTGTTCTTGCTACTACTCATTTATTTGCTTTTTTTTCTCTTTCTCTCCTACATTGTCCATATGTGCATGTTCCTTTGGATATTGTCGGGTCACTTACGATCCACATTGATATTCAGTGGTATGAAAAGATTGTGTCCTTATTGAGATTTTAATGTCTGATTCTCAGAGGCCTCTAATTCCGGCATGCGATCACAAATCATTTGAGATGATTGGGGAGTGATTAGACGCCCATTTATACAC